TGGAGCTTCAATGATGCACAAAAAAGATCAAAGACTGCAAAAAGTAATAGACGTCGGGGCAATTTAGCAAATAATCCAAAGTCGATGCATACCGGGGGATCACGCTTGTTCATGGAGGCGGCAAAAAAGTTGGTTAGCATTAATTTTACTCATATATAATTGTGTATTCTTTTGGTTTAATATTCGATATGCAATATAGAATCTTGAGAAATGGGGAACGTATGAGTGGGCTCACACGAGGAAACACGATAAAAAATTATGGTGCAACACGAATGCTACCTGAGTAGCAGTATAAAAATCATATGTTTTAAAGCACTATTTAAAGTATTGCATACAATTCATGAATATATTTGTATTTTTAGGATGGAATGAAATATATTGAAGAAGGGATGTCCCAACTTGGGGACAATGACTATAGCAAGGACAAGGTGTTTCTAAGCTTAGTCCCCCGTGATAAGAGAAAACGCATATTTGGGTTGGGATCGTTGGCATCAAGGGTGCTTACTGAACAATCATCGTTTAACAGTGACGGTCTTACCCCTACAGTTGAACCTACAGATATGGAATGCATAATGAGAATAGAACACAAGCAGCAGATTATGAAGAAACAAAATATGACCATCATGGAATAGTTACGAAAGATTCAGACTCACTTAGACCATCATGACCCGAACGGCGATACCGGTGCTCCCACGATCGCGTGATGTATATTTGCTTTATATTTCGTTTACTTTTGGTATTTTTTGAATTGATGGAATGTTTGTTTTATTTTATGTTATTATATGGCATTGGAGATGGAGTTTATTTTGTATTACACGGTGCTTACTATTTGGATTGTTAAAATAATTTCTTATAATGTTAGTTTATACTTGTTTGAGACAGGTGTACGAATTTAAAATAAATATATATTGTTAGTTTTTAATTATTTTGGAAGTATAGGAATTCGAAATGAACTAGTGATGAAAATTTGTAAAATTATTTGCGATGGATATTTGGGAATGATTGAATTCCCTTGCAAATATTGAATTAATTTGCGATGGATATTTGTGAAGGAATGAACTTCCTCGCAAATTTTGAATCAATTTGCGATGGATATTTGCGAAGGAATGAACTCCATCGCAAATTTTGAATCAATTTATGAAGGAAAACTATATCTTCGCAAAATTCCTTCGCAAACATTTGCGAAGAAATCGATGTTTCGCTAAATTTCCTCGCAAACATTTGCGAGGGAATTTTTCCTCGGATCTAAATTAGCGAGCAGGTGTATAACGATGACATGTATTCATTCTCAACTTCCCTCGCTAACATGTTTTGCGAAGGAAATAATTTTATTTGTGAGGGAATTTTTCCCTCACAAATCAATAGTTTTTTTGTAGTGGAACAACGGCTACAAGCAACATAAACTACAATTCCAATCTATTTATGAATAGTCTAATTCACAAGTCACATCCACTTCAAATCTCGATTGATGTATATAACTATAAATTAATGTTGAGACAGTGATAACACTTTAATTTTAATCTCTCCAAAATCTCAGTCGCAACACCATCTTCACTCATTTCTTCATATCTATTAACCTAATTTTTAGGGTTTAATTTTGGGTTTATTTTTTACTTGATAAATGAGCTTAATTTCAAGCCACAAAATAATAAAAAAACTATTTAGTGAAAAAAAAAAAGCCATACAAGCTTTCCACAACTATTTTTGCAGTGTTCAAAAAATCAATATCAAACAAATCCGAGGCATACATGTCCAATAGTGAATAAAATAAAGTAAATTTTTTATAGATCTTATAAATAATGGCGTTAAAATTCGTATGCAAGCCCTTTAATATAGTAACGACTTCTGGTATGTTCAACATGTGGTTGGTAGAATATACATTGTATTACATCATTTTATAGCTATATCATCACCAAATTCTTTAATACATTTTTCAGAAGCCGTTGTGAAAACTAATTTTTAATAATTTTATTTAATGAAAACAAACAAGTGAAATATGTTATAGTAAATTTCAACAACCATTTCCGCAACCGTTCCGTGAATAGTGCCGAATAATTAAGTCTGACACAAATGTCAAAAAATATTTAAATTGAAGAACTGCCTAGCGAGCATCACATGTGATGACGTTAAAACGCTAAAAAATAAATCCTTTAGCAATAAATTACTTTTACATGGATAATGTGGTACAAATTGCTTGTATATTTACTTATTATAAGTGGAAATGATAATTTTAATTAAGGGGAAAAAAAAAAAGCAAAGTTATGCATAAAATTTCACAACTATTGTTGCATTGTTGAAACAATAGTGTTAAACAAGTCTTATAGAAATGTTCGTAAATGGCCTATATTGAGTAAAAGCCTAGACGCCATCCGGTATTGTTATAAATATTAGGTAAGTTCTACAATGGGTTGTGATGCGCTTACGCATAAGGGTTGGGATATACATTGCATGTATATCAACAGGCAATTAGTTACGAAGTATCATATAGTTTTTTCTATATATTATTTTTTAATATTTGATTGATAATTTTAGAAGCATTAATAAAAAAACAAAAAGCTTGACACGCAAAGGGTGGGGCACACATGACATATATATCAATATGTAAGTAGGCGGAAAACCCGAAGTTATTATATATTTATATAAGACTGTTGATTTTGGAAGTATTCGTGAAAAAATCCAGGCTTGACACATAAAGAGTAGGGTACACATAATTGAGGATTTTGAAAGCATTCGTAAAAAAACATTTAACTTGACACGAAAAAGGTGAGGTTGATGCGCTTGCGCGTAAGGGTTGAGATATACATTGTATGTATATCAACATGCACTTAGTTACGAAATATCATATAGTTTTTTCTATTTAATTTTTTAATATTTGATTGCTAATTTTAGAAGCATTAATAAAAAAAACAAAAAGCTTGACACGTAAAGGGTGGGGCACACATGACATGTATATCAATATGTAAGTAGGCGGAACACCCGAAGTCTTATATATTTATATATGACCGTTGATTTTGGAAGTATTCGTAAAAAAATCTAGGCTTGACACGTAAAGAGTGGGATACACATAATTGAAGATTTTGAAAGTATTCGTAAATTTTTTTAACTTGACACGAAAAAGGTGAGGTACACATGATATGTATATCAATAGGTAAATAGACGTGGAATATCATAGAATTCTTTGGATTTATATATGATTTCTAATTTGGAAGCATTTGTTAAAAAAAGACTTGATATATAAATGGTGGGGTGCATAGCGATAGCGGAACCAAAATTTAATAAAAAAAAAAAAATAAAGGAGCTAATTGTTGAAATTTACAAAATAATACAATTTATTTTATGCATATACATAAGAAAACATATCTAAATTGTGTATTAGATTAGTCCCATAACTAAAAGGTTTTAACAAAAATGATCCTAAAAAATTGTTCACGTGTCATCAACATATCCGGTGTGCCACCTCGGTTACTCTCCAGCCCCTGATGATCATTTCTGCCAATTTTTTTTTAATTGTGAGACTAACCTAATACAAAGTTTAGTTATGAGTTTAAAATAAAATAGAAATCACGTACAAGATTTTAAAAAATAATGTTCCCTATAGTTTCTCACTAAAAATAAAAAACCAAAAAATCCATACTTACATATTTTCAACATATTTTTTTCACTGTAATTATTACTTTTATACTATATACATATATTTTTAAAATATAAGTGAGAAATCACCAAATAAAATGAGAAAGGAGGAGAAGGACTTTCCTTGTAGCTCCATTTAGATGTGTCAGAATTTGAATCTATAATTTTACGATTACGAGTCTTTCTCCACATTATCAAGTCATCCCTGACGAGACTTATATATTTATATTTGATTTATGGTTTTGGAAGCATTCAATAATAATAATAATAATAATAATAAAATTAGACTTGACACGTTAAAGATTAGATACACGTATTATCTATATCTACCCAGTTCAATTTGAAAGTATACATTTACTTTTGGCACGAAATTTAAAAAATAATAACTTTAATTGCGGTAAGTAGTTAAAAGTAGTGTAAAATTAATTTTGCTTTTGTTTTTTAAGGTAAACATAATAATGTGATTATAAAATATAAGTATTTATAGAAAAAAAATATGATATTTTAAAAATGATTGCTTTGTAATCAGACAATTTAAAATAAATATATGTAAAGTAAACGGAGATAATAACATTTATTAAATGGAAGAAATGTAAAAATTATCCAAAAGTACATATGAACATACTGACAAAATTTAGCTAAGCATGGGTTGGATTGTTGCAAAGTATTACTATTATAAATTACAAATTACGGTAAAAATTAATTTCATTTTCAACTATTTTTAGAATAAAAAGTGGATAGTCTCATAATAATTTATGTAAAAAGTTGAAAATAATAAAATATTGAAACACTCCCTCTGTCTCAAGTTGAATGTTTGGGTCACAGTAGACACTAGAATTTAGGGCAAGTATAATTAGTAGATAATTAAAAATGTATTAGTAAAAATAATTATTTTATAATATAAATAATTATAGATTAAGGTTAAAATAACCGATTAGGTTAATTAAAACTAAAAAAAATTAAATTAGAAATTTTGTATACACTTTCCAAAAAAGGAAAGTGAGATATTAATATATAATTATTTTTATTAAAATAAAAAAATATATTTTCAAATAAGACACAAAAAAGATAAAAAGGTACTTTGCAAAATAAAAAAGTTAATAAATTTATTTTTTTAATTTTTACATAATTATAAGGTGTGATCTTTTTGTGATTTTTAATGTAAAATGAAATCAACATTCGATATGAAATCTTAAATACAAACAAAATAAAAAATAAAAATAAAAATGCGTATGATAAAAGATGCCCACAGCGTGTATTTCTTTAATAGGTTTGTTAAAAATTAAAGACGGTAAATTAATAATAAATAATAATAATAATAAAATAAAAAATATATAAAGAAACAATTCGCCAAACGAATACTTGACGTGTTCAGTTCTACCGCTGCGCAAAAACACACAGCACTATTCTTCTTTCTTCTTCTTCTTCTTCTCTCTTTCTTGCTGTTCGTCGTCGACGTCGTCTCCTTTCTCCAGCGGTATCCACTGCTCATGGTTCCGCCCTTTCGTTTTCGCCACTAGATATTGCTACCCAATTCGCTTCAGGTAAACAAATTTCAATTCGTGATGTTCGCGTTGGTTTTACCTAATCGCCGTTTAGATTGTTGGTGGTACTATTGAATGCGCGAGAAATTATTGATTTTGATGCTGTTCATTTGTCTGTAGGATCTCTCCGAGCAGAGGATTGCTCTCGATTTTGGGAAAGTGGTGTTGTTTCCTCAAGGGTTAGGATTTATGTCCCGTAATCAATCCAGGGGTGAGAGGAACGAGTCTACGCAGTACAGGAAATCCGGCCGATCTGGTGGTTCTAATCAGCAGCGCAACTTTCCGGGCGGCGTCTCGAGTAAGGGCGGCGGCGGCGCCGCCGCCGCCGCCCCCGGCACCCCTAATCCTGCTGGCCGCGGGTACAGTACTTGTTGTTGTAATTGAATTTGAACTAGGGTTTTGTTTTAAAATTTAATATGTGTTTTATGTGTGTCGATTGTTTGATTGAGGAGGAATGTGGATCTGAGTGGCTGTTTCATTGCTCAATGTACTAGGGTTTGGATTGTTTGCTCATAATTTCATCAAATTTCCATATCTCGCTTGTAAATTGTTCTAAAATGCAGTTCAAAGAAATACAATAACAATGCACCAGGAGGGTATTCCCGGGCAAGAGGCCCGAATGTGGATTCAGACTGGGGGACGAATCCCGGGCAGATGAATCCCGGGCAGAATGGTCCTCAACAGCAACCTACTAATAGTATGTGGTTTTATTACATCTCATTTTAGATATCCTTTCCTTTATTTGCTATGCTAGTTTGAATTGAAAGTTCTGTTCACAAGGATGTTCGTCTTAGTGATGATCTTTTTATTACTGACTGGTAAAGTGAAGTGGGGGAGTATTATGTTTTATTTTCTGATTTCTAACAAGTATGTGTTAATGTGTGTATATATATAGTTGTTGGAGCATATGAAGCAACTGCTGCCAAGTCTTCTCCGAACGTCAAACCGACCGAAGTTGTGACTCCAATAAATACACAAGATGCTCCCAAGCCGTCCCCTGGTGTTCCCCCTCTTGCCCCAACAACAAATTCTTCTGGTACCAGCTCTGAATCTGGAGCCCCCAAAACGCCTACAAAAGGTATAAAATTGATTGATTTTACATGAGTATGTATGTGTTTATCTTTGATTTCACGTATGTATGAGTGTGTTTACCTGTAAGATTTTGGTTTTGGTTTTGGATTTTGGTTTTAAATAGTAAAATTTTGAATTGAAATAGTTGTTTGATGTGACATAACTACGTATTGATGTGATGTTTTGAATGTAAAATTTAATTTAGTGTAATAAAATATATAAAAAATAGGTGTTTTATTTGATGTTTTTTTAGAAAAAAAAGGTGTGAAATAATAAAATCGAAAATCAAATCCCACAGTTAAACACACCCTATGTGTGTATCTACAGCTCTTGGGGCTATTTAGTGATTTATTCTCAATATTCATTTGCTGGTTAATCATTGTAATAAAATTAAAAGTTGAATTAATGCTTGTACATATTCTGTAATGTCTAGCTTCAGGGGATCCGGCTAAGTCATTTCCTCTTCAATTCGGCTCTATAAGTCCAGGTTTCATGAACGGAGGAGTGCAGGTATTACATAGCTGCATGACGGCAGCATACCTTGTATTTCTCTTCTAAAATTTCTGTTCTTAAATGCCAAACACTACTTCCACAACAAGAAGGCACTTGTTTACTTTTAATTCTCTTCCAGATACCTGCTCGGACGAGTTCTGCACCACCAAATTTGGATGAGCAAAAGAAGGCTCAGGTGTGTAGGTCTCCTCTGCCTTTTATTTCTTGTTTTTTAAATAGGGCACAAGAGAGTTGGTTTTCAAATAGAAGTGTTTCATTTGACTATAATTTGCAAAAGTGGAGAAGTTTAGATAGTTTTTTATTTTTTATATTAATGTCAGGAAGGAAATTAATCATTTTGATTCCTTTTACAAACTGCTTTGCAGAAGACAACTCAAAGTTCAAGGTGGCCAATTTATTATGTTTGTTAAATATTTCATAATAAATCATACTAGTAAAAGTATAGAAGGAAATAAAATATGCTCTTAATATCACATATATAACTTATGCTAAAAACTAGCAATGATGGAAAGTTGAATCTATAAAAAGATAAGCATTTCTTTAAGTGAGTGATTTAATTTATAAATCGAGTTTGGGCTCCCCAAATAAAAATTGAAGTCTTTACAAATATAAATAAAAATGTAGGGTCTACAAGAAGCACCAACATATCAACTACAACCCTCCTTTTGCCCCTCTAAACTTACAATTTATTTTCTGTATCATCTCTTCAGCTGATTTCAATGGCTTTGGCTGTATTATTTTGTTCAGCTAGTCGTTGATAGCGGTCAATAGTCAAACTCCTTTACCTTATTGATAATTTCTCAAGCATGAATAAACTTTAAAGTGAAACCACCTACAATTTCTCTATACGTGGCTTATATCTAACTACATATGTGGTGGTGATGACTGAACTATTGTTTGTACTAAATCTTTGAAGATGAATTTTATGTAAATTTCCTTTTTCTTGACAGGCACACCTAGACTTTTCAAGGAACACTCCTGCTGCGCCAATTCCATCTGTACCTAAGCAACCACTGCCAAGGAATGCCGGGAATCCTGACCAAGCTAAGATTAGCCAAGCTCAACAAATTCCCAAACCTAAAAAGGATGCACATGCTTCAATTCCACCCTCTGTTACTCAAACTCCGAAGCCTGCTGTAAATCCTATCCCTGGCTTGCCCATACAGATGCCATTTCACCAACAGCACGTTCCTGTGCAATTTGGAGGTCCCGGTCCTCAAATTCAATCTCAAGCAATGTCAGGAACATCAATGCCTTTGACAATGCAGATGCCTATGGGTACTCCTCCCTTGCAGCAGCCAATGTTCATTCAGCCACACCCCATGCAGTCCCAAGGAATGCTGCATCCCGTCCAAAATTTTAATTTCCCTGCACAGATGGGTCATCAGCTACCACCTAGGTTAGGGAACATGGCAATTAATGTGGGCTCACAGTTTCCACAACAGCAGGCTGGAAATTATGGTAGTTCTCGCAAATCCGTGAGGATCACCCACCCAGAAACTCATGAGGAGTTAAGGCTTGACGGCTCACCTGGTGCAAGGTCACAACCTAATGTGCCACCTCAATCACAGCCTATCTCTTCATTCCCTCCCAATCATCCTATGAATTTTTATACAACTTCTTACGGTGCCAGTCCCATCTATTATCCTCCTGGAAGCTCTGTTCCCATGAATAGCACCCATGCTCAGCCTACTACTCAATCGCAAAGGTTATATAACCAGGTTGGTCAGTGACATTCTTCAGAAGATTGTTTCTCCATTATTCTTATGAAAGATGAAACTCGCTATTATGGCTTGCACATTAATCACGTATTCACATGAGTGATTAAGTTGCCTGTTTTTCTATAACCTTTCTGGCACGTTTCCTGTAGGTGACAATAAAGCCACCTGTTACCACTTATGGGGAGAAAGAGCTGCTTCCAGGATCTACACCAAATTCAGTTGGAAAGACAGAGTCCTTGGAATCTTCAACATTACATGATGCAAAATCAATTAGCCATAAGAAAGAAGTTGACACTTCGTCTTTGAGCTTGTTACCTCGTGCCAAGTCGGGTACATCAGCATCCACACCTTCAACAGGCTCAATGAACAGGGAGAGAGATGCATCAACCACTTCAAGTTCTGCTTCAGCTCGTGCAGGTGATTCTGTGTCTTCATTGAAGGGCCCTTCTGATGGATCAAAAAAGGTTATTGTGCCTGATTCCACGAGTGATAAACCTAACCAGTTGGGCAATAAAAGCCAGGCAGATCAGGTATTTTGTGGCTTGTTCATTGATCCAGTTATGTATATTAACCTATTTAAGCATATTCACCATGATTTTCACATTAAATCCAGGATGGAAATCAATCAACCTCACTCTCATTGGCTTCTCCACTGTCAGAATCTGAACCGTTGAACACAAAATCTGACCTATCTATTTCTAATTTGGTACCTGAAATTGCTAAGGAATCATCCTCAACAGCTGTTACTTCTTCTGAGAATGCTAATCTGATAAGCATTGGCTCTGTAGAAGAGAAGGAAGATGGTTTGTCTAAAAGTTTAGGCACAAAAGATGTACATACCAATAAATTAAAGCCTGATATTATTGGGAAAGAAAAAGAAGAAGCCAGTAGGTCTGGCAGTTTGGAACTTCACAAGGATAGTCTGGAATCATCTTTAAAGTCTCTTTCTTTGGAGTCTATAGAACCTACTGGTAAAATTGAGCCAAGATCTGATGAATTAACATCAACAACTGGCGATTTATCAGAGCGAAGTGAGGAAAAGCCAAAAGAAGCTGCAGTTCTACACTCCACTGATGTTAAGATGACCGATGCATTACCTTCTTCTACTCAAGTACAAGTTAGTGGAATTGCTGGGAATTCTGTACCAGTGAATTCCTCACCTGCACAGGATGATAAATTTCCTACTCCAGATGCACCGTCAAGTGTTACAGATAGCATTGCGAAGATGGAAATAGCTGTTAAGCCTGTTGTGGTAGATCAGGAGTCTCCTTGTGATGTTACCTTGAAGTGTGAACATGATGATATTGACAGTTCTAATAGCAGCTTAGTTTCTCCTTCAGAAAGCACCAAAGATAAAGCCTCATCTGATGCAAATGCTGTAAAAACTGCTGTTCCCAGAGCAAAGAAGAAAAAGAAGGAGCTTTACAGGAAAGCAGAGGCCGCGGGCACCAGCTCCGACCTGTACATGGCGTACAAGGGCCCAGAGGGAAAGAAGGAAGATGTCGGCTCTGCAGAAAACCCAGAGAAAGATTCAAGCATTAGTTCGAAACAGACACCTGAAGAGTCTCAAGATAGTCTTGTGCCACCGAAGAAACCTGCTGTGCGAGCAGAGCCGGACGATTGGGAGGATGCCGCGGAGGCCTCCCCTCAATTAGGGCCTACGAAGAATGAAAACCAGACTAATGAGAGAGATGCAGTTGGAATAATGAGGAAACGATACACTCGGGATTTTCTCCTCAAATTTCAATACCAATGCACTGATCTTCCGGATGGATTACAAATCTCTGATATACCTGAGGCATTGATGGTTTCCACTGCGAACATTTTACGTGAACATCATAGTCCTGGACGAAATATTGACAGACCGGGTAGTGGTCCTAGAGCAGATCGTCGATCAAGCAGCTTGGCTGATGATGATAGAAGGACCAGAATGCCTGGCCCACTTATGCCAGCCCGTGGCGACATGTGGACAGATGTCGGGTTTGGTAATAATATTGTCAGTTTTCGAACTATGCAAGGAAGTAATTATGGTGTTCTGAGGAATCCAATGCCTCAAGGTACTGCTCAGTATGCTGGGGGAATTCTCGCCGGGCCAATGCAGACTCATGGATCTCAGCTTGGCCTGCAAAGAAATTATTCTGATTCTGATAGGCAATGGAGAACTGGTTTCCAGAAAGGTCTGATGCCTTCTCCGCAAACACCACCTCCGATGATGCACAGAGCTGAGAAGAAGTATGAAGTGGGTAAGGTTACCGATGAAGAAGAAGCTAAGCAGAGGCAGCTGAAGGGCATTTTGAACAAGCTTACCCCACAAAATTTTGAAAAACTATTCCAGCAAGTTAAACAAGTGAACATAGATAATGTTGTTACACTGTCTGGGGTAATCTCTCAGATTTTTGATAAAGCTCTGATGGAACCTACATTTTGTCAGATGTATGCAGATTTCTGCTTTCACCTTGCAGCAGATTTACCAGAATTGAGAGTGGATGATGACAAGATTACTTTCAAGAGGTTGCTCCTGAACAAATGCCAAGAAGAATTTGAAAGGGGAGAAAGAGAAGAAGAAGAAGCCAATAAAGCTGAAGAGGAAGGTGAAGTTAAACAGACAGAAGAGGAAAGGGAGGAGAAGAGACTTCGAGTTCGGAGGCGCATGTTAGGCAACATTAGACTAATTGGCGAACTGTACAAGAAGAGGATGCTAACAGAGAGGATAATGCATGAGTGCATCAATAAATTGTTGGGTCATAATCAAGATCCAGATGAAGAAAACATTGAAGCCTTGTGCAAATTGATGAGCACAATTGGGGAGATGATTGATCATCCACGAGCAAAGGATCACATGGATGCTTATTTTGACATTATGGCACGGCTGTCCAATAATATGCAATTGTCTTCCAGAGTCAGGTTCATGCTGAAAGATGCCATTGATCTGAGAAAGAATAAGTGGCAGCAGAGGAGGAAAGTTGAAGGTCCAAAAAAGATTGAGGAGGTGCACAGAGATGCAGCACAAGAGCGGCAGGCACAAACTAGCAGGCTGTCACGTGGTCCCAGCATGGGAAATTCTGTTAGAAGAGGTCCATCCATGGATTTTTCTAGAGCTCCTAGTATGTTATCTTCTCCAAATTCCCATATGGGCAGCAGCTTTCGTGCTGCCTCTCCCCAATTGCGTGGTTTTGGGTTCCAGGATGTTCGGATAGATGAAAGACAATCTTTTGAGAACAGGCCGGTGTCTGTTCCTTTACCCCAAAGAGCCCTTGTGGATGATTCCATAACACTTGGGCCCCAGGGTGGTCTTGTGAGAGGAATGGGATTCCGAGGACAGCCTTCACCACACAGTGTTGATGCTCGGGTGGTGGGCCCTGGTCTAAATGGCTTCAGTACTACCCCTGATAGGACACCTCAAGTCCAAAGAGAGGATCTTATGCCAAGACATATGCCGGCTCGTTTTGGTGCTCCATCTGATTCTGATCAACTGCATTCACAAGAGCCAAATGTCAACTCTGGGAATAGAGATGTTAGAAGCACAGAACGTGGCTCAGATAGATCTATTTCTACCTCCCAGCAAGGTGGTCCACCCACTAGTATGGACAATGTTTCTACAGAAAATGTCTTTTCTGAAGAGGAATTGCAGAAAAAATCATTGTCTGCCATCAGAGAATTCTACAGGTACTATTCTGCATCCAACCTCTCATTTTCTGTTTGCTATTATTCATATTACAGTCTGGCAGTGTGTTTCCAAGACTGTATCTTGCATCTGTGATTATTGTTTTGACTTGGATTTGCATGTATTGGAATTTTGTTGTTTTGTAGTGCCATATTAGAGGCCAACATGTTTTTAGTTCTTCTGTAGGGGGTAACTAGGGGTGTTTTTGTTTGGGGGTTTGGATTTTATGTTTAAAATGTGAATAGTAACAAATTCAATTTTTATAGATGTTTGATCTAATATAAATAGGTGTTGATGTGATGTTTTGAATGTATAATTAATTTTTCAGAGCGGATTAGATGCTGAATTTGATCTACACCATTAATTAATTAAATTATTTAATTAATTAAAATGAAGGGTTTGGATCAATTTCAGCTTATGCTGAATTGTTTATCACTACAGTATTTGATCCAAAGCTTTAATTTTTAGTATAATATAAAAAATGATAAATAGGAGTTTCATTTGATGTTTTGGGAGAAAAAATTAGTGGATGGTAGAAATTTTTGAAAAATCCCAAACAAACACATCCTAAGACTCTGGAAAGATGACTTAGGTTCAGATTGCATTAGTAAATTAGCTTCTCTTGCCTATTACTCCCTCTGTCCACTAAAAATAGCCCATTTGGGTCCGGCACGGGATTTAAGAAAAATGAACATTTTATTGAAAAAGTAATAGGTAGTTGAGGGTATTTTTTGAAATTTAGTTAGAAATGAAAGTAAATGAAGAGAGCGAATGTAATAAAGTTAGTGGTATTTGTTGTAAATAAGTGTTGAATGAGCGGTAATAATTAAATGTTAATTTGTTGACTTTGCCAAAATTAGTAATGTGACAAATTTAGCGGACGGACTAAAAAGAAAAGTGAGAATAAATTTGGCGGACGGAAGGAGTATTAGTTATTATAATATATAATTGAGTCTTTGACGGAAGTGTTTAGCTTGCATTTCCATGCACTAGTTAAACCATAAACACTTTATGTTAGTATGATTGCAGAGATATTTGCTGTAGTGCTGTAGCATGCCAACTTGAAGGTAAAATGAATCTGCTTTGGGCTTTCTTGAGAATTGAGATCCTGCATGATGGTATGCTTATACGCTAGAAATTGAACTGTTCAATCGCTCGAGACTGTCTTCTCCAGTTCATACTTTGATATGACAATTGATCATAGAAGCAATTCTTTTGTTGTCTGGGTTACACTTTCATTTCTATAAATCTGTCAGTTTTTCACAGATAGACCGTCTGTTTTTTTTCTCCCTGGGATTCTAGGCATCATTTGCTTACCAAGAATTTCAATAGAACACCTTCATTCATATGCAAGTATTGGCCATTGTGGTAGTTAATGGTTATGCTATTGTTGGACGGAAGATGAATCACTGATATGTTGTAGCGAGTAGGTCAAAGTGTACTTCCAATTCCTAAGATTTCTTCTCTGGAGTGGTATGGAAACTAGAATGAGGGAAACTAATTGATGAAATTTTATTGTTGAACATTTAAATGCATAACTAGTATATGTGGGGCCTCGTATGTAAACTTTCCTATCAACTAACATCACTTAAAATATTTTAACATTATTTGGTAAAAAATTGGAAAGATTGGAGGTGAGTTTACTAGGGCAATTACTTCTATCTTTAGATCAACTCTTTTGTCATGATCCTCAAAATGAAATTGTTCCAAACTCCATCCTTATGTTGACCCAATTTCTTGAGATGACACTCGGTTGGATTGGAAGCTTTACAAAAGTACACGGTTTATTAAATTTTGTGAGGGATTCTCCCAAAGAAAAGACAATGCTCTCGAAATTGAAGGAAACATATGCTTGACTGAGTGTATTCTACTTTTGTTTTGTGTTTCTGAATATTCTTTACCTATGTTCTACATTGCCTATTGCAATGCCATAAAAAGTGTTTTTGATGCTTCTCTGTGGTCTTTGTCATCAGTATAGGTTGGGCCGGGAGAAGTGATTGATTATTGGTGTACTAGTATTGTAATGACCATAGGTGAAGAATGTCTCTTAGGTTATAGGCTTTTGCACAACTGTAAAATCAGAACCAATATTATTGAATATTTCACCTGGACAGAGATCCTGCAAGCTTAGGAATTCATATTTGTTTTAAAAACCCCATTAAGAAGCTGAGGAGGCTACTAGGCGAAGACGGAAAATGCTTTACAGAACACCACAATATCTATGGAGTTAATTTAGTAATAGAAATAGCTTTATTAGCAAAATCGAATGAGACTGAGCTGCCCAAAACCTGATCAGATTTCTATTTTATATGTGCACACAATTCTTATGTATAGATTCACTGAAATATGTCGTGTTTTCAAAGTTTTTTTTAGGCTTTCACTGACTCTCTGTTTATGTTTCCAGTGCAAGAGACAACAATGAAATGATTTTATGCATCAAGGAACTGAATTCCCTGAGCTTCTACCCCTCAATGATTTCCCTCTGGATCACGGATTCTTTCGAGAGGAAAGACCTGGAGCGGGGTCTCTTGGCAAAGCTTCTTACCGACCTTGCAAAACACAAAGATGGAGTCATAAACAAAGATCTACTCGCTAAAGGGTATATACACACACACACACATACATATATATATATACATAAACAACATTACATGGTAATTTTCTTTATCCCGACCCTTCCTGCAGGTTTGAGTCCGTTCTTACCGTCTTGGAAGACGTCGTCAACGACGCCCCAAAGGCAGCAGAATTCCTCGGCCGAATTTTCGCGCAAGCTGTTATAGAGGAAACCATTTCACTTTCTGAAATCGGGCAGTTGATACTCGACGGTGGAGAAGAGCGAGGGCAGCTCGTGGAAACAGGGTTAGCAGCCGAAGTAATGGGAAGCTTATTGGAGATGATCAAGGAAGAAAAATCCGAAGCTGTGTTTAAGGAGATTCGATCAAATTTCCGGTTGCAACTCGGGGACTTCAAGCCGCCCGGCTCTAACAGACCGTCGAGAATAGATAAGTTCGTGTAGAGGAAGGAAGGATAGAAGGGGGAGATTCTTGTACGGTATGGTTTACTAAACTAAAAAATTTTCGGGTATGAATTCGACTGCGGCGGCATTGTAGGGAATTCTTTGTTCTATATTATTTCGTGCCCAGAAATTAATTACAAAGTTTGCAATGAAATATATTGACAGCTCTATATCTATGGCTATGGCTATGGCTATGGCTATGGTTTAAATGCTTCGTTATGTGTTTAGCTCTGTGGTCTTTATAAGCTTATGATGTTTTGGTTGGGAACTTCTCAGATCAGATCAGTGTTCTTTTGAAATTTGGTTTTAACAGTGTTTTAAATGCTCGATATAGGTATATTCTTTTTAAATTTTATTTTATTGATTTTTTTACCTCACATACATTTAAATGTGATAATCAGCTATAGAAATATTAATTATTTTTTTAATACTAATCACTAATTTATATAATATTTATAGAGATATATATATTGTGTGTATATATAAATGTATGTAATGATTATAATATATATATTATGTATTAACTAGTATGGTAAAGTATGTCGTATATATTAAAAAGAATAACAAAATATCAATTTTCTTATTTTACAAGTATTTGTAAATCTACGTCACAATTGAACTCTCATCCTGACTTCCGCCACAATATAAAACAAATTCTTTTAAGAATTTTGAATTATTGTTTTTTATAAATATTGATTGTTTAAAGTATTTTACTATTAATTATAAATTTTTAAGAATTTTGAATTATATTTTTTTTAAAATATTGATTGGTTAAAATATTTTACTATTAATTATAAATAGAAAATAAATTACATTTACTCTTATGTAACTTATTTCAAAATTCAGAAACCCTAAATTATTTTCACAACCGCCGTCTCTCTCAAACTGTACCATTTCTTCCTCCTTTCATCCTCCAAATTTGGTCGATCCGGCCGCTCCACCACCATTGATCCCTGCTTGCGCCGCCCGCTCCACCGCCTTCGACTCCTGTCCTGCGCCGCCGCCTTCCTCGCGATTTTGAAGCTCCACCGCCGATTCATCTGCCTTACATGTTCGAATCACCGGTAAAACTTATATTTATTTTTTATTCTCTCTTTTCTTTTTTTAATTTTGATCCACTTTCACATGTATTCGCAGATTTAAGACTTATATTTAATTTTTATTCTGTTTATCTTTTACTTTTTCTTTTTTTGTTCTTTGATTTTGATCAACTTCCACGTATATTCGCAGATCTAAGACTTATATGTATTATTTATTCTCTTTGTTTTTTTTTTTTTTTTTTTTTTTTTCTTTCTAATCTTGATCCACTTCTATACATATAATAAAAATGAGTATACAATTTTGTTTTTATTGCTCTCATTCTTTATTTTTTCCTTCCTTACAGCCTTTTCTCTCCTGTGGTAACTGGTGCCATCGATTTTAGCCCACAAAAATATCAGTTCGAGAAATAAAGATTAAAAAATTTCAATCTGATCTGAAACTGTGGTGTCAGCCCCATTGTCACCTACAGAAGAAAAAAGTGAGGTTCGTATTTTTAAATTGTTAAAGATATAAGATTTTGTTTTTGTAATCATATGACTTGTGTAAAAAGTTGAAAACTTTATTATGCATAAATTTTTTTTTTAGTAATAATTATTTTTTAAAAAAGTTAAAATAATTAATTTTTTTAGAATTTTTTAAATAGAAGAGTTGTAGAGCTTTTTTTTATCCTTAAATATTATTTAAACATCTTATCTCATTTTAAATTCTTACATTTATTCTTTTTTTATATACTTTTTCCTCTTTTTTGTCTTCTTCTGCATCCCTTCCTCGTACTAAAAAAACCTTAGTTCATGTGATTAATAGTGTCCGATTCTGTTATGTCATGTAAAAAGGACTATTTATAATATTCATATCGCAGAAATAAAATATACAAATTACCAACTAATATTGCGGCATAATGTGACCATAAAAGATTGACGAAAATTTTATGGCTGAATTTTAATGTCCTTCTAAACCGAAATATATATATATAATAAGTTCGCTAATCTTAAATTCATAATTTATTTTATTATATTGTTGTGCATATGTATTCGGTTTGGTTGTTTAGGTGGATACAAAGTGGGCAGATACAAAGTGGTGCATTGTTAATTTCTATTTTTTTTAAGTATATTTTAGTATCAAAGTAAATTATATTTATTTATTTATTTATTTATATATATAAGTATAACAGTCGTTTCTATGAATAACTGTGAAATGCTAAAAAATATATTTCGAAAAATATTAAGGTGTTATGATAAAGAATTTTGAAGATATATAGTTAATTCTTTTTTATGTTTTTATTTAAGTTACAGTGTTATCTTTACATTGTATTTTTTTTACATACATCATTATACTAAAATGTATATAAACCCACCAACGAGCTTTAACGAATCTTTTCATAATTGATGAGTAATTAAATTTAATATTTATATCAATTTTTTTTCCTAATATTCTAATTATCATTGATAACTATTTTATTTAAGTTTAGAGGCGATTGTTGCACAGAGAAGTTGGTGCCATTCTTCAGGTGAAGATATTTTCAACATCAAATTTATTGAAAATATCAAATTTATTTAGACGTGAGTATGAAGTTAGATATATAATTTTAAATATATGTTCGATTATATGTTCAATATTATTTAAAATAATTACCATAATTTTTATAGGTAAAATTTTTCCTAAAAATTGATATTGATAACATGTGAAAATTTTAAATTAATTATATATATATCAAGTTTACATAAAGACGTATGATAGTAGGGAGACCATAAAATTCAAGTTATTCGACAGACATTTGAAATATATATTTTATGGAAGATTCATCTGTCAAGTATACGACGATCCAGGTATAATTTATGTATTAGTTTTATATAATTTTATATTATAAAATATATTTTATATGTTTGACTTATAATTCAGTTAAATAGATAGACAATGCTAAAATATTATTTAAATGCATTTATTGACCGCCGCGTTCATATTCATTGTTCTTGTGCCTCTAACATTTGCAAGACCATATGTTTTATCTTCGATGTTTTAGGTTATAAGAGTAGATTTGTGTGAATAATATGCACATATTATAAAAAGATCTCCATAATAACTCTTTTTATAATGTGTGCATATTCTTCACATCAATTTATTCTCGTAACCTGAATGTGAACACGCGGTCAATAAATGCACCTAAATAATTTTTTAGTATTATTTATCCATTTATCTTAAAATATAAGTAAATCATATAAAATATATTTTATAATAAAACTAGTATGTAAAATATACGTGGGTTGTCATATACTTATACATGGATCTTTCATATAAAATATATATTTAAGATGTCTGTCGAATAACTTGAATTTCATGGTCTCATTATTATCATACGTTTTTATGTAAACTTGATATACATAATTAATGTAAAATTTTCACATGCTATTAACATCAATATCTTGGACACGCACAATCATTTGAAAAAAGTTTATGTATAAATAAATGGTAATTATTTTAAATAATATTATACATATAGTCGAACATATATTTAAAATTATATATTCAACCCCTTCCTCATGTCTGAAGTCATGTATCCAAATTCGTTTGGTATTTGATATTTTCAATAAGTATCTTGACCTAAAAAATGACACAAACTTCTCGCACAATAATCACCCTTAAACCTAAATAAAATACTTAAAATCAATTATAATTAGAATATTAGAAAAAATATACATTTTAGAGTTGATGATGTGTGAAAAATATATCAACTTATAAAATTTTAGAAACAATAAATATGTAAATAAAAAATTACAATATAATTAATGTAATTTAAATAAAAATATAATAAAGAGTTAACTATATACCTTCGTAATTTTTTATCATAACACCATATGCCCATAGAGTAATATTTTTTTAAAAAATATTCTTTAGTATTTCACCGTCATCCATGGCATATTTGATGCGTAGAATCATATGAACGACTGTTATACTTATATTTATTATAAAGAAAAGTAAAGTAAATATAATTTAGTACTAAAAATAAATAAAAAAAAAATTAACAATGTACATTATATCAAGAAGAATAATTTAACGCATGAGATAAACCATTCTTCGATAAGTACCAATCATCCATGTAAATAATCAATTTGAATACATCTGCACAACAATTTAATAAAATAAATTATGAATTTAAGATTAGTGAATTGTTATATATATATATATATGTTATAGTGGACAATATTGTGGAATTCGTACAAAAAATCTTCGTCAATCTTCAATGGTCACATTATGCCGCAAGATTAGTTGATAACGATGAGGTACTAATATGTATATTTTATTCGCTATTATCACTTATGCATTATGAATATTATAAATAATGTCTCGTGTAATACATGAACTCAATTTGTCAATATTAATCTTATGAACTATGCATTGCATGACAAATTCCTACGGTGAAAATTGTCAGTAATAAACAATTATAAATTATGAAAATAGAAAAAATATTATCAAAATCTTAGATATCAAACTGGGGTGATTTTTAGTAAGAGAAAGAGAATGCAAAAGACAGAAAAGAAAAATGAGGAAAAGTACATACGGAAGAATAAATGTAAAATTTAAAATTAAATATGTTTAAATAATATTGAGAGAAAAAAAAAGCTCCCCAACTTTTTTTATTTAAAAAATTATAAAAAATAATTATTATAATCTTTTAAGAAATAATTATTACTAAAAAAAACTTTAGCATTTTCAATGTAAGATTTGTATTTTAGAAATCAAAATAAAATTTTCAACTTTTTACATAAGTAATGATTACAAAAGAATTTATATCTTTAACAATTTGTTGTTATTTATATTTATATTTATTGTTTAATTAATACAAAATTTAATTTAGTTACTCTTTTGTATTTATATTAAAATATTTATAGCAAAATATATATTATAATTATTAGGAACAAATCATATAACTTGAACAAATTTAATCATATAAAAAATATTAATTTTTTTTTCCTAACCGCTTGCAAACATTGATTTACAGAAATTGATACTCAATTTATTTTCATTATATTATCATTATAATTTTATATGTTGAAAAAAATACGAACTTAGACATTTTCTACAGCACTTTCACAATTGCACAGTGGTAGAGGCCGTTCATTTACACAATCGGGTTGGACACCACAGTGAGATCAAATTGAGATTTTTTAACCTTTAGTTGTCTTTGATCAAAAAGGACGACGGAAACAGAGAACGACATTTTGGTGGGCTAAAATCGACGACAACGGCGACCACCGGAGAAAATGGTGAAAGGAAGGAGAAAAAAATAAGAAAATGAGAAGAGGAATTAAAGAAATTTGTATACACACATTTTTCTTATATGTGTTGAAATAGATGAAGTTTAAAAAAAAAAAAGAGAAAATAATAAAAATAAATCTTATCAATAATTAGAATGGGCAACAACAATGGAGCTTTAAAACTGCGAGGGGTGGAGCGACGGAGCAAGGTAGGGATTCATGGCCGTGGAGTGGCGGGGGTTTTATGCATAGATGTGGAAGTAAATCAAAATTAAAAAGAGAAAATATAAAGAGAATAAAAAATAAGTAAATTTTACCGGTGACTCGAACGGTAATTACGATGAACCATCGGTGGAGTTTCAAAATTGCGAGGAAGGGGTCGAAGGCGGTGGAACGGCGGCGAAATCAGAAGGACGAAGGAAGAAGAAAGGGAAGAGTTTTAGGAAGGATATCGATTGTAAAAAGAAATTAGAATTTCTAAATTTTGAAACGAGTTACATAAATTTAAAAATCTTATAAATTAAATACAATAATCAATTAAATGTTTTAACGAATCATTTCCTTTTAAAAAATAAAATTCAAAATCTCTAAAAATTATTGCTTTACATTGTACCGAGGGTTACAATGAATTCAAATATACGTGTGTGTGTGTATATATATATATATATCTAAGAATACTATATATATCTAACATTTACGCATGTATATGAAGTAATAAAACTAACGAAGACCGCAAAGAAAGAAAGAAAAGGCGATGTGACATCCGACTACAAACAATACAATAATTAGCTTACATATTCAGCTTGTCAATGTGTTTGGTTTAGGAGGTAATCTGGAGCGACATAAATTTTTTGTGATAATAAAACTACTATTGCATTAACAAGAAATTCTGCATTTCATGGAAGGACCAAACATATCGACATACGTTTCCATTTTATTCGTGAGCTCGTAGCCAAGGAAGATATTGCATTAAAGTATTACAGCACTGGGGAGCAGGTGACCGACATACTAACCAAGACGCTTCCAATAAATAAACATGTTTATTTTAGATCATTGCTGAAAGTACGCAAATTTGAATAAGGGGAAGTGTTGAAAAATAATTCAATTATTTAGGATTAAATTATTAATTTAATACGTATATACTGTGTACAACAAAATGGTAATTTTTTTGTGCTACAAATATAAATGTAATATTTTAGTTGACATTTACTCATATTATTGACGGCTTGTTTGAAAATGGATATGTTCTTCTTCTTCCTTTTTTTTTTTTATTTTATTTTTTTTTATTTTTTTTTTTTATATATATATATAATTAAACAAATAAAAATCATAAATTAATTAGCTTAGTAGTGAATGAAAATTTAATATAGTATAGTTGTTCGATAATTTTATGCGTAAGAAAATTACTCCTTTTGTAACAATTGAACATAGCTTTTTCTTTTTACATATTTGTCATGTTTTATTCAAAAACATTAACTTTTTAATATAGTAAAATAATTATACATTAATACCATAATATCATTTAATATTTATATAAATTACAAATATATTATTAAACATATAATTAATTTATATATAAAATACAAAAGAAAAAAATATTAAAAAAATCTTATACACTTTAACTAATTAATAAATATTATTATTTCGAACATAGATCACATGCTGATGGTGCTGATTTGACCGTAATATTATATGTTATATTTGTAACACGATATATGATATCTTATCACATAGCCTATGTTGTACTATGTGAAAATATATATACTGATTTGACCAAATGATTTACGATTTTATTATTTTTTAATTTACTACAAAATTCAAATAACCCATTTGAATTGAGATGAATGGAGAATTTAACGTAACTCTAGTTGGGAAAAATTATACTCCATCTGTCTCATAAAGAAGTATCCATTTATTTTTTGTACGTAGTTTTAAAAATATTAATATTATATTGGAATATAGTAGGAATAAAATAGAAATGACTAAAATAACCTTATTAGTATGTGTGATATAAAGGTAATAACATTTGTGTAATATATTGTAATTTGTAAGAGTATTTGTAATGTTAGGTAGATAGTACAATTACTATAAAAAATGAAATAGATACTTTGTTACGAGACAGACTAAAATAAAAAAGTAGATATTTTGTTATGGGACGGAGTATAATTATTTTTTCATGATTCATGAACTTGAGATTTTATCATATTTTTTTTAAACATTATACAAAATCCCTTTTTAAAGAAATATATGGAATATTTTAAATAATACAAAAAAAATTTCATCGTATTTTTCAAATTACAATAACTTAACTTATAAACAATTTGGCCAAAATTTATCTATAATTTTAATATTTGTATTTTAATAGATAATAAGTATCACATTTACATTCTTGATTGAAAAAATTTCATTTTTTTTTTTTTTTCATAATACCTTAGACAATGTCTAATTTTGATTTTAACGTGAATAGTTAGTGAGGGAGTAATAAATAAAAGTACGAGGGTTATAAAAATAAATAAATAAAAACCCGACCCGCTACTCATTTTACAGTATATTAACCCGCTCCATTAAAATCGAATCCGGGTCGGGTCATCGAACCCTCCCAAAGTGCCCTCCCTAGATGACCAATGTCATGAAATTCTTCTTCATCTTCAGCCTGCCACTGGTAGAAAATTTTTCTGACTTCGACCGCCGGTGAAAAGTTCGTAAATCAAAGCTTTTATTCCCAAATAATCTTCTCGCTGCTGCTACACTTTTGCTGGACTGCAATTGATTTCCTATTATCAAGCTCCAAGGTGAGTTCTTTGCGTGCGCTGCTACTGTATGTTGAATTTTGCTGCTAAAGGAAATGATCTACGTTGTTTTGATTCGGCTAATCGTGTGCCTGTGTGTTTCAGATTTGGTATCAGTTGATCTATCGATTGGAATAATGGCGGAGAAGGTATCAACGGCGAAAACCCCTGCCGATTTTCTCAAGTCCATACGCGGTCGTCCCGTTGTAGTTAAACTGAATTCTGGGGTTGATTATAGAGGTATTGTTATATCAATTTCAGGTTTTTTCCACTCCGTTGGTTCTGTTCTGTTGTGCCTTTCTTTTGTTTTTGAATATATGATGCTTTTTGGTTTTGGTGAATATTGAAAGGCAATTCTAAAAGCCTGCTGTTTTGCTTCCGAGGGTTTGCTGCAATTTGTTCCACTTTTGCTGTAATTTTTCTTCAATTATGGATAAGTTTTGTACGAAAAGATTATCTGTTCGTTTGGACGATATTCTTCTGATGGCTGAGTGTGTGATTTGGGATGGCTATTTTTTTGGGGGGGGCGGGGGGCGGGGCGTAGATGCTTTGTAATAGTGGAAAATTGTACTGAACTAAAGGTTTAAGTTCTTCTTCTTTTTTTTTTCCCCACTTTGTTGCTGTATAATCCGATGTTTCCCAAGAAAAATACACTTTCATTTCACAAAACATCATGTCGAACCACTATGCAAACACAAAACAGAAACACAAACAAAACACACTGTTAGGCCTCATTTGATTGGAGTGATTTGGGGCAGAGGGTTTTCAAATGACTCCACTAAATTCATTCGTTCTGTTTGATAATGGGGTGGATTCAAATTCATCTTCTTTAATATTTATATTGTGTCATTTCAATTACTCCCTGCAACCAAATGATGAATTTTAGTTATGGAGTATATTTCAAATACAATGTAATTCAAATCCATTAATTTAAGATTAATTCTAAGATCTAAACTCATCCAACCAAATGGGGACTAAGAGTTTTTTGGACCCTGTGTTGGCATATACATGCATATATATATATATATATATTCTGATTTTAAATGTTGGATCTTTACATATTCACTTATGGTTATTTAATATATGTCAAGTATTGTATCCAAAAATGGTTTGATTATTTTTTTTTCTTACAATGAAGGGTTTGGTACCATTTTGAGTTTCGTTTCTGTAAACATTGTGATGAACTCTCAAAGTCTGGGAAGTGAATAATGTTAGTTTATTTAGTTAATTTTAATTAGCCATTGTCATTTTCATAGCTTTCTTTTTCATCGTATGTGTTTCACTAGTGCTAGATTGGCTTCTCTATCGGCATATGCATGGATGGTGGTTACTTATCACACTGGCTTAATGCATGTATAGGCAATTGTAGTGTGGTGATTGCTTTGGTTTAAGTGATTTTTCATAATGGTGTGGGGGGATGGCAGGTTTTTGATATTGTGTTTATTTGATGCCGATAATTCTCAGGTTAAAGGAGTGGCAGTATGAAATTCTTGAGGAATAGGCTAATGTTATTGAACCCTTTAATGTAGTTCTATTCAATGAAATGCTATATCTTTATTGAGCACTGGAAAATACTCTGCATGTTTATACTAACAGTAATTTCTTTCAAAAAATCCGATCAATATATATTCTCTCACAGAGCATCGCATCAAACACTAATTTTGTACTATTCCCAATTTTTTTCAAAACTCCAAAAGTCTCTATCTAAACAATGATTTGTTGGGCAGATGACAGTGCTGAAGAATCCATGTAGTTTATGTGTGATTTGGTTTCTCATACACGTTGATTTAGTAACAAAGGATAAACTTGAAACTAGCCTTGTGCAATGATCATGATTCATGTGAAATCTAATATCTGTGATGTTTAAATTGCCACATAATATATGGACCTGTGATCTTGATGAACAGATGCTAATGCTCTTTTGTTAAAATATTTGCATCGTTTTGATCCATATTCTTGTTCATCTATACTGTTTACACATGTTTTAATTTCAGCTTGACTGGGCAATATCAATAACAATTTGTACTATTAATCATCTTGCCCTGGAATTGACAGATAGCCATAGTGGTTTCAACATTCTAGTTAACCACTAATGATGAAAATAATCTAATTAAATAAAAAAGTGATTGAACTCCGAATCTCTCCATCCAATTTGATGCAACCCACCCTAATACTACCTTAATTTATTCTGTAGGTATTCTTGCATGTCTGGATGGTTATATGAACATTGCAATGGAACAAACAGAAGAGTACGTGAATGGCCAGTTGAAGAACAAATATGGGGATGCCTTTATTCGTGGAAATAATGGTAACCATTGTTAACACAAGCTTTCAATCTGATGCCAGAAAACACGATTATATCTGAACTGAGGTGTGTTTCTTCATTTTATTTTCCTAAATGCAGTGCTCTATATCAGCACATCAAAGGGAACCTTGGCAGAAGGTGCATAAAGTCATGATAAACGTCAGAAGCTTCTTATGGTAATTATTATTGCGAGAACTTGGTTAGCTTTGTTTTGGTAACTTTATTGGCTTGATTAGGTCATTGCACACCTGTAATATGTGCACCCAAAGGTAATATTGACTCATCCAAGATCCCTTTATTGTTAAACTTACTTGTTGCCTGGAAATGCTCACCTATTTAATCGACTGTTACATTTGTATCTTTTATATATTTATCACTTTATCTCATCTATTATTCGGTGATATAACAATCCTAATTAGTTTGGATTTCAATTAGGTTGCATTTGTGCAATATGACTTTGCTTGGAAGTGTGCTCCCTATGGACAGAGTCGAACTCCAAACTTTTCCGTACTCTTATTAGTTAACTCGCTATCTGCAGTTCTTATATTTCGAACTATGTTAATTATGAAACAAAGATAAGTTAACTTTGTAGAGGGATGACTTGCTTGAGCTAGATGTCTCGGGTACGAACCTTCTGCATACAAAAAAGTTTATTTGAAACAACTTTGACTGTTAAAACACCTAATTAAGAGAATGAACATAACATGCTAATTTACAACAACATTTCTGTGTTTGAGGCTTTTGGATTTCATTTGGAGGACTGAAAACTAATTTTGAACTGCATCCAGGTTATGGGCTGAATTTTATTTTATTTTATTTTCATTTCCATGCATTATTATAGCCGGACTTTTTGAGATTTTTACAGATGAATCAGTTTAATCTTGGGAATATTTGGTTCCACATTTACTCTGATTCAGCTCAGCTCTGTACAGAATGGGCAGTTATCTGAGATTATAGTGACCTCATCTAAAAAGCTTCTGGACTCTTTCATGGCTTCTATGCTTGTACAGTAAGTGCATGTTCAAAGTCAATAAATCAGAATGCATGTCAGCTTTACATCCCACTTCTATACATTTTTATTTTACAAGATTTTGCTTAATTTATATTTGTTTAGTGTTTATAGTATTTAATGTGTTTTTGCTGTGGGGTATGGAGAATCGTGAAAGTATCACAAGGGATTGTGTCTTAGTGTGTTTTTTTGCTGAATTTTGTTATTATGCATATATATATATATATATTTTGTATTTCTTGAATAATATTTTTAGAATTCGTTTAAGGAAAAAAAAACTAACTGTAATGTTTCTTGGCAATTCACTCGATTCACTATTTTAAAACTATTTTTAACCCTGTTAGAATGATTAGTGATGGTGTATACTCCAGTGCACAAATTTTGAATTAATAGAAATTTGATACTTGAATTAAGTTTGAAGGGTGAGCATATGTTTGTTTGTTTTTGATTTTTTTTTTCTTAATTTAATTTAAATAATGTTTTGATGTGATTTTGTGGGAAAGAATATTATATTTTTCATTAGGCACTGTGAAAATGAACAGTAGAAAAAGTGGTTTGGGATTGGAAAATAAAGCTTTATTTCGTTTTATATGAATATGAATGCTATACTTTCAAATTTCTCCTATTTTCGAAAATGAATTATTTAATATATTTCTCAATATTTTCTTTTGTAGGACTTGCTTACAATCTCTTCAAAATTTTGATTTTTTTTTTTTTTAAATATATGTTAATTATGTGGATATATTTTATTTATTTGTAGTGTATAATATTTTTTTATTTTGGATAAAATAATATATACTCCTTTTTCCCATAAGACCTTTTTTTTTTTAAAAAAAAATTCTATTTATAGTAAAATATATTCACAAAAATTAATGAACTATTATAAATTAATTTAATTAGGTTTCTAACATATTAATTTAATTAGCTTTATATTAAGAATAGATTTATATTATTTGATTTCATATAAAATGATATTCATCTTGTACATTATTTCTGTCCCAAAAAATAGGCTTATTACTTTTGGCATAAAGTGCTTCTTAAAACTTAAAAAGATTTTTTTACCCGTATGTGTTTTAATTTAGATATAAGTAGTGATATTTGTATAATTAGAATTAAAAAAGTGGGGATAAGTTTATAAAGATGATTATTTATGGTAAAAATTATATGTTTTGTGATGAATAAAGATGGTAAAACAAGTCTATTATTTGGGATGAAAAAAGTATATTTTACATAAATATAATTTTTAAAATACTTAAATATATTTTAAAATTTTATATTGCCTCATAAATAAAATATTATTTAAATAAAAATTTTTCAATCCAACTTACAACTTACATTTGAAATAGTGAAATATATGCCGATATATTACAACATGATGCAGTATTTTAATCACCATTTTAAAATAGGTAAATAAAATTTAATTTATTTGTAATCACTAAGGTGTTTATTTTGATTCGAAATTGAGATTTGAATTTGAATTTAAATACTCCCTCTTTTCCATAACAAAATATCAATTTTTTCACTTTAGTCCGTCTCACAATAAAGTATCTATTTTTTCATTTTAGTCCGTCCCATGACAAAGTAGTCATTTCCTTACTGTCTATTTAACATTACAAATACATTTACAACTTACAATATATTACACAAATGTCATTACCTTTATATCACACATACTAATAAGGTTATTTGAGTTATTTATATTTTATTCCTACTACGTTCCAATATAATACTAATATTTTTAAAACTAGGAGGAAAAAACAAATGAATATCTAATTATGAGCCAGAGAGAGTAATATTTTAATATAATATTTTGTAAAAAAATATATTATATTAAGTACCGAGTAAATATTATTTGGTTTTAGAATCCAAACCAAACACACACTATAGTGTATTTGTTTAGTATTGATACTCTACACAAAATAATAAAAGAATTTACAAAAAATATATATAATATACATATACGGATAACAATAAAGTTAATTAAAATATACAAAATATTATTCTTTATAATATTTTTATAAATTTTCATATTTCACTATAAAATACTTAAAAAATTATAGTAAACATTAACCATATTTGCTTAAGAGTGAGTGAACTCTACGTTATTGATGAATACATATATAAAAATACTGTCGATTGAATAGTAAAAATTTTAGTTTAAAAAACAAACCAAACACTCATCATATGTATGAATGCTATCCATCTTCACACAAATTATCTTTTGTATAAAACACTCGCAAATTAACAATTGAACTGTCGATTTTCATGTCATAAAAAAAAAAAAAAATGTATAGAACAACAAATAGACAAGATGAAAGATATATGCGAGAGAAGACTTCAATGGAACATATTAATTGAAAAATAGTGATGCATTTTTGTCGGACAATATATTCTTATGCCATTTTTCGATTGACAATATTTCAAGAGATTGTGTGATTCATAATTCCATAGTAATCCTAAATATAGTTTTGGCCTTTTCGACCCAATGTGTCATCTATGGTTTTAATCGATTTTTTTTATGCTGCTACATAGCATTTTGGTTGTAGTATTACGTCTAATGTACATATTTTCTTTTTCAATATATATGATCTTATGATTATAAGTTCAGCCTCACACCACTATATTATATCTTACAAAATTATTTCTATTATTATTATTTGGATAATTCTTGCAATCCATCATAGCTTTAGTCATAGAATCAACAAATTACACCCGGAGTATGAGTTATACGCGCTTCTTAATTTTCTTCTTAATAATGCTGTTAAAACATCGGTGACAACAAAAAATTAGCCAGAACCAAAAGAAATAATGAAAGCATTTATCAATAAGTAAACTTTCCTTATAATAATCCTTATTGCGAATTATAGAATTATCATATTTAAACTTTATTGCGTAATTCTTGCCTCGATAATATATACACACACACACACAAAATTCATATTCATACAAAAAAAAGGGAGAGCTATAAATAAATTAATGACTACACTACCAATATGTTCGGGCGATCTTGATTTGTGTTTCATTGCCATTTTAGTCACAAAATCGCGACGAATATTAAATTTGCTACTTCAATAATTGTATCACATCATATATATTCTCCTAATAGTTGGTAATAATTGGAAGCGATGTTGACGGAACAAAATTTTCCGGACAACTCCATAGATGGCACAAGAACACACACGCAGAGGCGTAGAAAACAAACATGTGGAAAGGCAAGAAGAAGATACAAGAACCTCCCTCCATTGTGTTAATGGTGGTTGATGAATTGATTGACGATTTGTTTTCAACTTTATTTTCGCATTATTTATTAACAATTCAATTTTTCAAAAGATACAATATTAATTAAATACATGTTTTATTTATTTAAAATTTTATAATAAAAAGCTCATTTTTCATTAAAAATATTGCATTCAATATCTATTTATAGTCGTGTCAAATATTTAGGTTTTGTTTATATATACTCCGTCCGTTCCGATTCAAAGTATTCTTTTTACTATTTGTGTTTGTTCTATTTGAAAGTATCAATTTTTTAAAAAAAATAATCATACATTAATATGAAAATATTCTCAACTTTTACTTAAATTACAAACGTACCATTACACGTACAGTTACTTTATACAAAATATCAAAGAACAAAAATATCAAAACCTCTTGTACACTTCCATTAACCAATAAAATACTATTATTTATTAATTTACTGCAAAACCCCAAATGAGCCCATTCAAAAGGAACGAAGGGAGTAATATTTTGAAAATTCTGTCGTTATTTATCTCTAATATATTTTTTTTAAAGAAAATATTATATAAAATAAATATATTTATAATTAGAAAGATTATATCAAAAACTTATGTTCTATACAAAATATCATATTATAAACCTATTTTTTATTCAACTTTCAAAGCTATTATCAAAACTCTTCGAAACTTAAATTTCAAAACTTCTATTTAAACAGAACCTTACTTTATATTCAATATTTTACTATTCCCGTACAAGTAAAAAACTTTCAAAACACTTTCGAAACATATCGAAACGCAATAAGATTGTCAACTTCATCTTCATTTCCAAAAGTAAATAAAATTAATAAATTTATGGGCCACTTTAAATTGTGCTTCATTCACTCTAGCTAGAAAAGGAACAAGTGTAGGAATATCTATAGTGCAGAGTGGCCAATCCATCCACTGCTTCTTCATCCTGATGTCACCATAAACACACACACAGAAAAGAATACATATAAATATAAATATATATATATACATCTGTATGTATAGCTGGTAGGGTTTGCTGGTCACCAACTGAACAGTGAGTGCCATTTTTGTCTTCCAGAAAGAATGAGGCAATTAATATTATTGCAATCCAGTTAAACCTCCACTGGGAATT